TTTGTGAAGTAGATTTAAAAAAAAAAAAGACTCAAGGCATGAAAAGGCCACAATCCGCATATATATTTAGTTAGCATTTGCTCAGTATCAGGTGTTTTGAACAGATTTAGTAATCTTGTCATTAGTGTTAGTGCATAAAAATCTAGCCCAATTATTCTAAATTTTATTTGCATAGAGCACGTCATGCTGCATGGACATTTTAGACACGGTAAACAATAGTTCTGTAGAACCAGAGCTGTTCTTGTTTTGACCGGTACCTCGGTTGAAGCCCAGAGGAGAGGGCGCTGCAAAGACTGGTTCTGCACAGAGAGTCACTGGTTTCCTTTAGGGGAGTCGGAGATTGTGAGACTGGGAAGGAGCCCAAAGCCTTTTATAAGCAGTTCCAACACATGGCCAGATGAAGTGGTTTGAATTTTTTTTTTTTTTTACCATTTAATTAACTTCTACTTTTTGAAAACAAGTGACTTCGATGAAGCCGAAATGCCAGCCAGCCCCCTGCATGTATCCCATGCTTCCAACGAATATCCAGTCCCAGTATCGGGTCCTACCCGTGGGTGAGAAGACCCTCTGTAATCTCAGCTGATATGTCTGCCCCGAGAGCTGAAATCTTGCTCTCCCGTGTAGAAAGGTTTGCTTTCTCTTTATGCCTTGACAGGAAGCTTTCAGACATGCCGGAGCATATGTACAAAGCTCCGTAAGGCCGCACTCGGCTAATTCAGCTGACATGTATGCACCTCTGAGTTTGAACAGGTTAGTGGAAGACATGAGCGTGGGGGGGAGGGTAAAAGGGGACAAATGGTGATGGAAGGAGACTTGACTTGGGGTGGTGAACACACGCTACAGCGTACAGATGATGTGTTGAAAAAACCAAACCAAACAAAAAAAACCCCAGACGTCTGTGGCTCCCAATAGCCTGATCACTCTTTAAATCCATGTGTTCCCGTTAAGTGTAGTGTGACCCTGGTGAAGGCTATGCCAGAGACAGAGCGGAGGTGGGGACCCACAGTCTGACTGTCAGGGAGGCAGGAGAGTGGATTCTTGACCAAGAGGGCAGCTATTGTGAGAGCCTGTGCTGCGTCCCAACTCCACAGTCAAAGTTGTTCACCTGTCTTCTGGGTCCTATTAAATATACCTCTCAGAAAGTTTACTTTTAAGGGTGTATGGAGGTGTGATCCAGCACAGTCCATTCCTACAAATGCCCTCTGCACACACGGTAGGCGCTGAAAATGATGATTGAATCAACAGAGAATTATTATCTTGTGGAATTTTTTAATGCCCACATTGGCCCCAATTTATTCTGATTCTTTAAAAACGGAGGTTTTCCTTGTTTGGGATCATGGATTTTTTCTAAACCTCCGAGCCTCCCTCCGTCTGCTACCATCCCCACCTGGTTCAGGGTGGCAGCCTCTCAAACCCTGTTCAGAGAGTGTGGACTTGGCATTGGGGAGCAGGGCCACATACATACGCCGCTCGAGCCATTGCATTCCTTTCTCCATGTACAGCCTCATCCATTTTTCTTCTTTTTTTCAACCTGAAATGCTCACGCTTCTTTATTTGTGGCTAATTATGCCCAATTAAGTTTTTTTCTTTCTCTACTGGATTCTCGGATTTGTCCCAAGTTTTAGGGGGGAAAAAAATTGATTAGCCCCATTTCTACGGGTGTCCCCCGAGCCCTGTGCTTGAATACAATGAGGTCACTTTGTTGAAGGATTAACTTTATATTACATTCTTGCAGGGTAGATGTATGTCCCTAAGGTACAACTACCCCCACTGACGAAATAAATATACCATTCTTTATGATTCCTCCCTGTTCCCTTCTCTGTTGATTTTCAGAGCAGTTTATGAATAGTCACATATTTATACAACTGGCCAAAAGTATACTGCTTCTTTTTGTCATGGCCTGTAATAACCTACGCAGGGTTATTAAAGGGTCTACAGACCCCTTTTAAGGCGTAGTTTCTTATGTCATTACTTTATACAAGCAGGTCAAATTCCATCTCGGCAATAATCTCTCGCTCTTAACCTTTTTCTTTGATTATAAAAGTAATATACGTTCATTGTGGAAAATTTAGAGAATGCACAGCACAAAGAGAAGAAAAGCACTTAAGACCCTCTCTCGGGCGGCTTATACACAGGCGTTTTCTTCGTTCTCTGTATGTGTGTTTTTGAAAAGAGGCACCATGTTGTACACAGGCTCCCGTGAGCCGCTTTTTAACCCGGCCGTGTGTCACACGGGCAAGCAGGTTCCCCCTCCCCGGCCTTGCTTTTGAGGACTGCATTATATTCCAGAGATACTTAATCTGTTTTCAGGTTGGTTTTGTTTGTTTGTTTGAAGAATCTGTATCAGATGCTTACTCTCGCTCAGCAATTGGTTTAATCTTTTTCTCTGGCCCACGCAGTCGGAGAAACCATCAGACTCCTTTGAACCGAAGCAGAGCTTTGCCGCGCGTATCTGTTGTGCTATCTTTGTGCACTGCGCGGGGCAATTGCGTTATAATAGTCAGTCCCCAAATTGAGGGCAGATTAACATGTTTAAAGATAGGAGCACGGAGCAAGTCATAAAGGCATGGGACATAACAGCCTTTGTCTTACTGGCTGAAATATCTCCTCCAACATAGGATACTTCCATGGAGTAGGTGCTTGTTTTTCTTTGAATAATGTGTATAATATATCTAATTCAATTACTCTTTGTGTCAGCCGAATGACTTCTCCTCAGCTCTTTGGCTATTAGTTCCATATGATATTTGAATGGGTTCTTTTAATTGCAGATATTAAGTGTCAGTCTTTCTGCTGTGTGTTGGCCATACAGCCAGAGAAACACAGCTCCCCCCTGCCATGCATCAGACAGTCGTTCAATTAGCAGCCACGGTGCCTTGACACAGTAGGCATTAAAGGGGTGGGTCAACAATTCAAATTGTATTGTTGGCTTGGACTGACAAATAAAACCAAGAATTGGAATTTTCAGGATGCTAAATTATGTCTTCAGATATTAAAATGATGCATTTAATTGCCTAAAGCTCTTTTTATGGTTCAACTTCTTTGTTGGCAATTAGTATGATGGGTGGGGGATGGATGTGATACAGAACTTAAACCTAGGTGCTCAGTCCTGTCGCCCCTCATGGATTTCTTGATTAAATCCCACGTATTTTATGAGTAACAGCTTCCCTGCATAGAGTCCTATGGCTTTTTCTCTTCAAGTCTAATTTGAAAAAAGAATTCTTCTCAAGGGTTTAGAAAGTAATCATAAAAATGAGAGGAATAATAAATATTGTGCCTTAACTCATATGCTAGCACAGAGAGAGAGATGCGGTACACCTGGGTGTAATTTTAGTTAATTTCCACAAGAGACAGGTTGAAAGTTTACTGTTTGGAAGGGAAGGGGGGCATAGCTAAATCTCATATTTGCAAAAATGATTACATTATCTGAAATGAAAATGCTACTCTATTAACAAACTTCAATAAGCATTGCATTTGGGGGAAAATCTTTTAAATAAAAAGTTACTCGAGTTCACTTTAACTTAAAATATATAAGTGAGGAAAAAGTACTTACTCTGATTTATGTGTCTTTTGGAGGTGTAATTACTGGCTTTTTACTCACCTATGGAAAACAATGTACTTTTGTAAATGGATTTCTGGCCACTTTATGCAGCTTTTTCCCCCCTATTTTTTTTTTTTTTCTTACATAAAAAGTAAGCACTGTCAATCAAGGAATTTTAAGGTTTATTTCCTCTTTAGAAATGATTGATAGCCTTTTAGATTTACAAGTTGACAAGTTAAAGGGTTCTATTGGTATAATTATGTACTAAATTCACAGTCTTTCAATTTAAATGTCCTTTTAAAACCACGAGATTATCATACCTGTATTTTGAAAAGTGGGCCAGTCAGTTTGGGTTGGTATACAAATTGCTTCCATTAGCCTTGGGACCTATTTGAATTTAATACAGTTTTTTAAAGTTGGGAGTAGCACGAATCTTACTTTTAAAATTTAGGTTAATGGAAATTCATTTTAAGTAAAGCATGTGGCAACTTGTTTTTTTAATGTATAGCTAAATCTCAGAACTACAAAGACTGCCTTTTTATTCAGTATGGGAGGAAATATGTGGTTGAACACTTTGGTTACACCAGAAAGAAAAGAAACAACCTACCCACCCGCCCCCAGAGCTGCCGTCTCTTCCCCACCCGGGAGAGAAGGCCGAAGAGATTTTGCATCCGGGGGAGAAAATCTGCGAATGACGGATCAGAGTTCACTTTGTGTCGCGTTTAACTTAAGGATGTTTTGGGGAGGGTGTAGTCAGTATGAGGACAACAAGGCCCATTGCTTCCTAATATGTGTACAGTTTTCGCTCTTTGGTCTTTTTAAGAATTCATGGAGACCCGGCCGCTCTAAGCCAGTGCTCCAAAGAGGCTGGTCTTTTTCCTGAAATAACAGTGATGTTGGTGACTCGGTCTGTCATTGCAGACGCGAGGCTGTTGCCTCAGGGTCATGTTCACTGCCTAGCTCTTTGCACCGCACCGCACTCTTGCGGGCTCCGTTGCCCCGGGAGGCACTGGGATATTGTATCCGCTGAGGCCCACTAGAGATTTTGCAACGAAGCAAGGACTTTGAACTCTCCTGCTTTTTACAATCTGTGGATATCCTCGGACAAGCCCTCAAGCATTTTGACTTTATCTTCTGACTAAAGTGAACCCTAAAACCTCACATTACATACCATTTTACTTTCTATTTTCAGTAATGTAAGGAAAAAAATTTGTCCAGAAGACCAGAGTTCAGACCTGCTACTATGTGGTCTCTTGAGTGAGTCCCTCCCTACCATGGTCAATAACAGATGGAGATGGTGGTAATTGTTCAAGCAAAGGAAACAGTCGCCTGATCATTTCATGATCTAATTCAAAGGTTATCAATGAGGCTTTAGATTTCCCGGTTATTTCCACACCATTAGTGTTGCAAGTCACGTTCTCATTCCTGAAATTGTTCTAATTGTGTGACTTCTTCATTGCAGCGCTCAATGAACCCACCATCGATTATGGTTTCCAGAGGTTACAGAAGGTCATTCCCCGGCACCCTGGAGATCCTGAGCGTTTGCCAAAGGTAAGGACACCTCTCCTTCGGGTTACGGTCTCTGGAAACTTGGACTTGGGTGATTGGCGGGAAACTTGGTCGTTGATAAAAATCAGCTCATAGACAAGCAGCTCAGTATCTTTGGGCTTCGTGTGTTTGGTGCTGTAAGGTAAGCAATAATAAATGTAGCAAGCACTTATGTGCCAGGTGATATTGTACTTATTTTTACATATGCTATGTCATGTCTTCCTCTCAAGCCCTCTGAGGTTGGTACTATTACCATGTCTTGGGGAAGAAAGTAATCCAGCAAAGAGAGGTTCAATCATTTGCCCAAGGTCACACAGTCCGTACATTGCTACACTGAGATTCAAACCGATACAGTCTGGCTCCCGAGTCCAGGTTATTGATCACTACATCATCTCAGCTCTCAAGAAGAGAAAACACACTGCCTTTCTGCCTACATGAAAACTCATACTCATCCCTGGTGAGGAGAGAACAAAAGAAAACATTGGTAGATCTTGCAACTGGACAAATAAGACAGAACCTCTTCCCTGTCAAGGCAACCCACCTAACTGGGAGGTAAGGTGAGAAATGAAACAGAAGCTCAGGGCAGAGTAACGCGTGCCATATAGCCACATGTCATTAATCGCCAGTGCGGAAAGAAGGAAACTCACATTTACTCGCTTCTGTTCTGTACCTGTTGTCCATGTTGGGAATATTCCCATCTCTGTACCCAAGGAACTTGGAGCCTGTGTGGGAGAAATCCCAACACCATGCATAAAGAAAGAACAGGTACGCTTAACCAGAGTGCCACCAAAGCTCTGTGAGGACTCAGAGGGGAAGACAATTAAATGCTAAGGGAGTTCGAGGTACAGAATTAGTCAAGCTACCTACCATTCATCGTTTACTGACAGCAAAATGGAATTTCATTCACTGCGCCAGTGAAAACTATGATAAATTAAATGCGTAGACGAGAGGTCCTCTCTTTGCTACAGTACGTCTAGAGGTAGGTCCGCTTCTCCTTGTAAAGCACTTAGAAAAATGAAGCTGGCATCCTTCCTAGCTCAGCTGACCTCTTTGGGAGACCCGTCCATCATCGGATTCTACCTGTGTGCCTGCTGGCCTGGGAGGCGGGGCCCCCTGTCAGAATGGGCCTGGTCCAGAGGCAAACTGCCCCACAAACATCATGATGCACAGGGCGAGGGGCCGGTGGGCGGGGAAGGGGCGCTGCTGCCCAAAGACAGGCAGAACCGGGACAAGCAGATGGGCCCATCCTCCACCTAGACCTCAGGGAAAGGACCACACAGCCTTCAGTCTCCACCCTGGCTTCCCAGAGCAGCCCCTCTTCCACCCAGTGCTGCTCACCTTGGTGAAAGCTTCTTGAAAGCCTTTCACCTGAGGAAGAAGGCCTATGACGTGTCAGTGTGTCCATACCCTTGTCTTTGAAAGGGGCCTCCACTCTACACGTCATTCCCATTCACCTTGATTTATTGGTGAACAGTTAAATAATTTAATAGTGGATGGCAGTCTACTTCCATAGCATGGGTTTGCCGTGGGAAGATTTACCTTCAGGTTCCTCTGTCTGGCAAGAACCGAACTCCTGTGCATTTCCTCTGGGGCAGTAATTGGTCATTTCATTGGTAATTTTATAGCACAATGATATAAATAATGTGTGTCCGCCCCACGGTCAGTGCCTTAGGTGTCTCAGTGGTAGAAGGGAGGCATGGGTGCCAAACTGGATTCTTCCCACTGTTTCCATGTAGGCATTGTCTCCACTTTACTTTTGACACTTGATGTCTCTAGAGTCTGCTGGAGGGACTGGAGGGGTAGATCGGGGGGTGGAGCTCAAAGTGAAGGCAGTGACTAGCTATGCAACCTGGGTCAAGATTCTTTTTTTAATTTTTAAGCAGAATTCTTCACCTCTCTGTGCCTCAGTTCCCTTCTCTGTCAAATGGAGATGGTAATATTTCCCACTTCTGGGGGGTTGCCACTGTAAGCACTTACTCAGGACTCAACCAAAGGCAGCTACAATTATTTGCCGATGAGTTAGAGTGGGACCCTTGCTTCTGAGAGCTCTTCCCTCCAATCTTGGCAGAGCAGCTGAGACTATGATTTACCTTTTGTGCCTCAGTTTCTTCATCTATAAAATAGGAATAAATCATGCCAACTTCATGGGGATCACATAAGGATAAAAAGAGGTAATCCTATGGATGCCCTCGGCATGGTCTCTGGCCCACAATCACCGCTCTATGACTATTTACTGAAAAACAGAAAACAACTTTGGTTTAATCTGGGTGAGGTCTAGAGAAGCCAGACAGTACTTTTCTTATCTATAAAGAAAGAAGACAAGTAGGAATATAGGGTTGCGTTTTGTTGTGCTTGCTTTTAAAAACATTTTTCACGGCTGAGTTTCACGGTCAGAAACGTTGAACAAATAGCCCAGGCACGTGTCCCTTCGTCCCCAGTGGCCCAGTGGTGAAACTCCCGGCCCCTTTTTCCTGGGTTTGGGACGAGTAATCAAGGACACAATGGGTTTGTGTGCTGAGGAAACACTCCACGGCTTGCATCTACCACTTGACCGCGCAAGGCCTTTGGCCAGAGCCCACCCCAGGAAGCTGTGTGTGTGACTCAGACCGGAGCGGCTGTCCTCTTGGCTCCGAACTCCAAGGTGGAGCGAGGGTTCAAGAGCAGGGCCAGGAAGCGGCGGATGGAGCCAGCGCGCGCTATTCCTGTGGACTGGGGAGGCCTGTCCTCCTGCCGTCCATTGTTAGGGGGATACAAGTGGGCCCCGCCTTTCTCAGAGTCATGGTCAGTGTTTGTCAAACAGGAGTGTTTAGTGAGCCGCGGACCACACACCTCACAAAACAAACTGCCTTTATTAAACCCATGTGTTTGTGAATAGACAAAGCTAGATTCATACAACCACCCACATATTCTGTCAAATGAAACCGCTCCAAAGACCGAGCAGACAGCTTTCCGTAATAATATGCCTTTGTGTGCTGGCTCCTGCTTTTACAAAGAACTTACACACGCTTTGTTTTATGGGAGCCCCTCTTGCGAGAGAAGTCGGGGAAGCAGACATCACTCCCATTTCCCAGCGAGAGAGCAGGGGCAGGACGGTGCCTCCGCTGTACGTGACCTCGTTCCTGGGAGTCTCCGTCAGTGATAGCTGCTGTACACACGTTTTAAAAATACTGTGATTATCCTAACCCCAGATGTTTTCTGGCTCCCCTTGTCACGTGCACGCGGGGAAGGGCAGGCGAAGGTTTTAAAATCGCAGCATTCTGTTCGTTCATACAGACTCGCCTTCCTCTCCAGATCCTGGCAGGAGGGGAGAGAGCATGGGACCCGGTTTGGGGTGAAGGTTGACTTTTCTTACAATGTCGAGGCGAGGGAGATGGGGACCGCGGTCAGTCAGGAGCCCCGGGGGTTCTGAAGCGCATGATGCGGTCGGGAGACACTGAGCAGGGAGCTCTCTCTGTTCTGAAGACCAGCGTGTCTCCCGCCCCCTGCAATTCGACGGTTGTCTTCCGAGTGGTCCGCGAGCGTTAAAGGCAGCGAGCGACCCGAGTTAGCATCGGGTCCCAGAGAGCATATAGCATGGCTGGGTCAAGGTTGCTGATGGGCAGAGAGGCCTAGAGAGAGGGCCGTCGGGCCAGACAGATGTGGACTTTGAAAACCGACCCGCGGCTCAGTGCCCTTGACCCAACCTTCCCAGCCTGGGTTTCCTCTTTCCTTAAAGCAAGGCCTGCAGTGTTGCTGTGTTGGGTGTTAATAATTCATGCAAAGAGATCTCTCTGGCATTTAGCAAGACGTCGGTAAATGGGAGCTACAAATGCCTTCGAGCGGGGTGCCCCCCATTTCATAGGAGCCAGAGTCCCCAGAGGCTTGGTGACGCGCTACGACGTCTCAGCTGGCAAGTGGGAAACGGATTCGAACCCAGGCTCATTGTTGCCACTGCGTGCGTAGGATTCCCACCTTCCCCTCGGATCTGGAAACCCACGTGATTCTGCCTTGAGGCACTTAGCTTCCCTCTCCTGTCCCTCACCCACAACCCACCCCACCCTCCAACTCTCACCGGCTTTCTCTCGCTTCCCTGCCCAGAGGGGTTGGCCTGGGGACCTCCGCGGGGCAAACGTGTTTTTTCCTCCAAGGGCCAGGTCCCTCTTTTGGAGAAAATAACGCAGTTTGGGAAAAGTAACAAAGGAGGCATTTGTGTATTTTGCTTTATGGAGCTGAAAATATCTGGTAAATTGATCCGGCGGGAGTAATAAATACACATTACTTTATCTCGCTCCTCGTGTCCTACACCCCCGGGTCCTGATAGAACAACACCACTTAATAGACTTAAAAAAGAGTAATTACACTCGCTGGTTGTGTGATTTTTCAGCCCTCCCAGCCCTGCCAGACCTCCTAATTTAGCTCACCGTGTCGAACGCACGCATTTATATTCATCTTTCATGAAGCGTGGGCAGCAGGGATCGCCTCGAGAGCGCTTTCCGAGCTGCCCCCAGGTCCCCGGCCCGGTCCCGGGTGAGGGGCGGGAGCGGTCCCTGTCCCCACGCCCTCACCTTCACGCGTAGGCGGCGCGGGCGCCCGGCTCCCGGCATTTGTTATCCTTCGTGAAACATAATAAAAAAGTATTTATTACATTTTTACTTTAAAGCTTTTATACATTGTAGCATTATTTACAGCTAAACATGCAGGCAGAAGAGGCGAGTGTTTTTAAAACGATTACCGTTAATGTTTCTGCTTGTCAGAAGTGCTTAAATTCTCCTGCACTCTGTCTAAAAACTTAGCACTGTTGCCTTTTAAGAACAACACGTTTCAAAGATCTCGCAAGTCAGATTTGCAAACACGGCTGACAGATCGTGACGAACGACGCTGCGGAACGCGCACGATGTCGGTCGTCGCGCGCAGCCGAAATATCAAGGAACGGACGAGGCAACGCGGGACCCCTGCGGAAAGCCACCGTCCCGCACGAGCCCCCGGGCCAGCCCCAGCCAGACCTCGCACCCCGAGCGCGCGGG